TCATGGGCCTGCACTGCCTCGTCCAGCTGGGTCTGCAGGTCGAAGGGCCCCCGAGCCTGCCCCACCATCTGCTGCTCTTGCTCGTGGAGCTCGGTCCCGAATGTGCCCTCGAAGTTGTTCCTCATGACCCTCATGCAGTAAGGGCTCTTGCTCCAAGTATCCACTTGCAGGCATGCGCCCTGGCGATAATGCCCGCTCCTTTCCGTCGTGTGAGGGGGCTGCCGCCGCGAGCGGTGCTTCGGGGGAACGCCCCGGCTTCGGCAAGACTTGGGGAACCCGAGAGGCCCAAAGTTCTCGCCGTCACCACGCCTTCGACGATCCGAGCGCTCCCGTTTCGGAGGAAGGAGAAGCGACACCACCACCAGCGGTGCCACCTCCAGCGAGGAAGTCCACGATCCCTTGCCGATGCTGGGGATAGGTGAGGTCTTGAGCGGGGAGGGGGGGTCGCAGCACCAGGAGGACCCCCCCACTGGTTCCTCGCGCTGGTGGCAGTGGTGCCACTGTTCTTTGTCCCTACTCAGTTTCGAGCTCTCATTCCCCCGCGCGCGCTTGACGCTCCCGCGCCTCGACATCCCTGGGGGCTGCGCGGGGATAATGGCCCGTCTTCCCCAGGCCCCAAAACTCCGACGCTGTGACTTCTGTTCCATGCGTGTTGGCACCCGGACCTCATTTCTGCTTCTCCTTCCCCTCCCCATCCTCCCCTTCTCTGCCGCGCAGGGCTCTCGTCTTGACTGCAGACAGGTGTTGGCACCTAGATCTCCCGTGTTATGGGTTTCCGGCGATCGCCATGGCCCCTGGGGCCAAAAAAAGTTGCCGCGTTGTTTTTGAAGACGTCTGATGAGCGTGCTAGCCCACTGGCACCCTGCAACATAAACATCCGAACACAAAGTGCGTCGAACACCCCATGCACACCCCGAGCCTGGCCCCCTGGGCCAGAGACAACAAACATCGCTTGCACGCGCAACGTGTTTGGGTGGCTCTCTCCTGGCAGGGCCCGGCACGGGCATCCCAGGTCGCACGCCGGCTGCCCGTTTTTTTTTTGTGCCTCTGGCCACCGGGCGTCTCGCGCCCAGGGGGCAGCAGGAGTCCCAGACCCCCGACGTAATGAATTTTTCATTACGTCGACCCTAGAGTTCTCGACCCTTTCCCCAGGACCGGTTTGTCATCCTGAGGCGTTTTTTGACGCTCCCGAGGCCCGGCGAGGGCCCCCAGAGGCCGAGAATGGCGAAAAACCTCCCGTCATGATGTTTTCATTACTCGAGGGGGTCTGGGGTCGCAGATCCGTCCTTGGGGGGGGGGGGGGGCGCCTCCCGTGGCTGTCGCTTTCCTGCGGTCTCGATGGCCCCCCAGGGCCTGGCACGGGCACTGCCGAGGTCGCAGGCCGACGGCTCGTGCCCTCTGGTGCCTCTGGCCGCCGGGCGTCTCGCCGCCCGGGGGGCAGGAGACCGCGGCGGCGCGGGAAGTTGTGCCTGGCCACCGCCCGGAGGGTCCATTTTCGGGGGCCTCGGCAGGCGGTGGAAATGGACAGATTCGGGCCCCCGGGGGCCAATATATATATATATATATATATATTATAAATGTGTATATATAGACGTTATAGAATATATATATATATATATATATATATACATATATATATATGTACATACATACATATACATATACATATATATTTGTATATATATATATATATCCATATCCATATCCATATCCATATCCATATCCATATCCATATCCATATCCATATCCATATCCATATCCATATCCACCGCCTGCTGCTGGGGCACCAGGGCGTCGGTTCCCAGGCGGTGGATCTGGATAACTCCCCGCCTCGCAGAAGAGGAGTCGCAGATCCGTCTTGGAGGCGGGCGGCTCCCGACCAGGATTCTGACGCGGATCCCGCCGCGGCCACGAGGGCGCGCAAGGATGCGCAGAACGACGATCCTAGAATCAAGTCGGGGCTGTCCCTTTACAGGAGGAATGTTCAAAAATAGTCCAGAAATAGTCCGGGGGGCAGTTTTTCGACTATTTTTGACTATCCTCGAACATGGCCTGACTATTGTGTTTTATTTATCGCCCAGCATCCGCCTGTAGGAGGACATGCCCAACCTAATCCTAGAACGTCGATCCTCGAACCTCGATCCTCGATCGTTGCCCCCCTCTCGGGGAAACGTACGACTCGAGTGAGCCGGAAACTCGGGTTTGCCGACTTTTTTTTGGCGAGCGCGTCCTGGACTTCGACGGTCCCGTTTTCGTGTGATGCCTGCAGCGGGAGCCCGCGTCAGATTTCGGATTGGATCTCGCCATTTCTATGATGGCCCCCGTCAGGCCAGCCCGAGTCCCCCGTACAGGCGGCCCGGACTAATAGGTCGACCCTGCCAGATCAAGGGTACCCTCGTGTCCTGTGTCTTGCGACCCATGCTTCCCGCATTTCTGTGGCACCGTGGCACTCGGAAGGGTCTCAAGTGTCCTCTCGCGCGCCCTCTCCAGTCGAGTCCGACTGTATACCCGAGTCTCTACGTCCCCCCGACCCTCGGCGGCGACGGCGGCGACGTCGACCGTCGACGCGATGATGCCGGCACGCGGGCGCCCGGTGCCCCGCCCGGCCGTCGCTTCCGTTCTCCTCGGCGCCCGTCTCCTCCGCAGGGAGGCGCGGACCTCTCCAGGCCCAGGAGGGGCCCTGGTGTTCCAGCCGACTCTTCCATCGGGTGTGGAGGAGAAGGAGGAGGAGGAGGAGGAGGAGGAGGAGGAGGAGCAGGAGGAGGAGGAGGAGGAGGAGGAGGAGGAGCAGGAGGAGCAGGAGGAGGAGGAGGAGGTCCCCCCGTGGGAGGAGCACTCAAGAGGGATCCACAAAGATTGCCTGGGGACGGTGTTTGGACCATTGTCGGCGATTTGTCTGGTGATTTTCTCCGTCCCGAAGCCGCCTGCAGGAGGGCACGCCCGACCTAAACCTACTCGCGGCCGAGGGCCGCCCCAAGCGGGCCCCAAGGGGCTCCGAGAACGGCCCCCGAAGTCGGGAACTGGAGCATCTATGCACTACCAGTGGCGGGCGGTTATTCAATCCCAGGACTTTTTTGGGAGGGTCGGGGACGACGTCGGGGTGGTGTGGTGCATACGTTTTTTCCCCGTTTTCCGGGGGAAGCAGCGAAGAATGTATACACCAGGATCCCAGATACACCAGGATCCCCTTTCCGGTGCGAGATTCAGCGTGAGGCCAGACAAAGGCGTCGGTGTATAGAGTTCGGTTCCCTACCTGCAAAGGGCACCCAGAGGTGTCGAAGACGGCGGCCGAAGCCGAGGAGGGATGCGGAGAGGCAGAGTGGAGCTACGAGAGCTAGCTTTTGGAGCCTCAGAAGGCTCCCTGGGGACCCCCTGGGCGCGCCCAAGACGGCTCAAGAGGGATCCAAAAGGGCGACCAGACGGCCCAAGATGGGACCGAGAGGCATTCAGTACGGCTCGAGAGGCCTTGGAGATACTCCCACGTGGCCGGAGAGGTCCTCAAAGTACCACAAGAGGCTCCGCGAGAGTTTCAAGAGGCACAAAGAGAAGCCCGAAAAGGCGAACATCATCACCCCTTGGTGTTTGTAAGCTGTTCGGCATCCTCGGGCTTTCGGCTCAACATGGCTCGAACAAGGGCTTCGGAAGGGTCCGACACGTCTCCAGAGGGCCCTGGGGACGGGCCAAACGAGTCCAAGAGGGCCCCAAGAGGCTGCCACGAGTGCCCCAGGAGGGCTCCCGGACAGAAGAAGGTGTGCTTCCGTTGAGCCCAGACCCCCGACGTCATGAATTTTTCATGACGTCGACCCCCAGCGGTCTGGACCCATTCCCCAGTACCGGTTTTTCGTCCTGAGTCGTTTTTTGACGCTCCCGAGGGCCGGTAAGGGCCCCCGGAGGCCGAAAATCATGAAAAACCTCCCGTCGTGATTTCTTCATGACTCGAGGGGGTCTGGGAGGGCAGAGTGGCTGTCAGCGGACGCCCGTTGTGCAGCCGGGGCCCCGGGCCCGCGGAGCGAGCAGGCCGCGGGGGGGCTCCCGGGAGGGGCTGCGAGGGACGGTTCGGCCCGCAGGGCGGGAGCCACGGCTGGCCCCCCGGGGGGGGGGGGAAGGCTGCGGGCAGAGTTTTAGCAGCCGGTGGGCGTCAGGGAGTTTGCCCCTCGACGAAGGTCGGCAGCAATCGTTGCCCTGCCTCTCTCAGGAGGGAGAGAAACGGGGCCCCAGGAAAGTGTGGGAAGTGGTGGGGGAGACAGAAACCCAGAACATATGGGATAATAATCATGGGGAATCTTTTTATTTGTGTGTATTCATTTGCGTGTCCTGGGGCCCCTTCACTCTGAGGGGGGCGTGCCCTCCGGGTGCCGGGGCGCGGCCCGCAGAACCCTGCGGTTCCCCTCGGACCACGCCGCGCTCCTGTCCCGCCTGCGCCCCAAGCAGGCCTGCCCCCCGCGCACCCAGCGGCGGCCCGGTGGGGGGGGGCGGCGGGCCCGGAAGGGGATCTGAAGCCACCCAGTCAGCTACATTCGGTACTCCAGATTTCGTAATAAAAGGAAGGCGGTCTGGACCCTCAAGCCATTTCAGACCTCCCCCGTGGGAGAACCCTCCAAAATATCTTCCCCAGACCCCCCAGGCCCTCCAAGATGGCCTGGAAGAGACCCCCCCGAAACGAGACCCCCCTCCCTTTTGCTACGAAAGCTGGAGTGCCGAGTCATGGGAGCCCTCGTGTACCCTCGGGCGGCGGGCCCGGAAGGTGAGCTGAAGCCACCCAGTCAGCTACAGTCGGGGCGCTGAAGAAGGAACTCTTCTCGTTGGGTAGGGGCTCCGTGCTCCTTAATCGTTTCGCCGTCTGCCCCGCGTTTTCTTCAGGTTTTCGAAGGGAAATCGAAGTTCAAGTTCTGGAGACAAGGGGCCTCGTTCCTTATTTAGGGTTCCTTAGGTCAGCGCCCCGACTGTACATGCGGTAGCGAGTCATGGGAGCCTCGTGTACCCTCGGAGGTCTGTCTCTAGCGTCGACTGGCGTCGATTCGCGCCTGGGAGCCGATGATGGACAGCGCCGATGTAGCGTCGGCGAGCGTCGACGAGCGTCAACTAAGCGTCGATTGGCGTCGATTTGGCGTCGACGAGGGCCGACTCGCAAGAGCCGACAAGCTGGTACGGGAGGCTCCCATGAGTTGCCACAGATGATGGACCAATTTCTCCTCCTCCTCCTCCTCCTCCTCCCTCCTCGTCGTCCTCCTCCTCCTTCTCCTTCTCCTTCTCCTCCTCCTCCTCCTCCTCCTTCTCCTCCTCCTCCTCCTCCTCCTTCTCCCCCTCCTCCTCCTCCTCTTCCCTTCTCTCCTCCTCCTCCTCCTCGTCCTCCTCCCGCTCCTCCTCCTCCCTCCTCCTGCTCCTCCTCCTCCCTCCTCCTCCTGCTCATCCCTCCTCCTCCTCCTCCTCCTCCGCCGTCTCCTCCTCTTTCCTTGCCCTTTGCTGAGGGTCGCTCTGGCGCGTACCCGATCGAGCTCCAGGAGTCGCTGCCTTCAGGGCCCACTTACTTCATGCCAATTCCCGAACTTCCTTCCGTCCTCTGGTCGTCTCCCGCTCCTCTCCTTCTGCCAACCTGACCTTCTTCTCATCCCCCCTTGTCTTTGGGCGGGGTGGAGGGATGCGAAGTTGTCGGTGTCGTTGACGAAGCGACCCGCAGCTCGCTCGAATCGAAGCTTGAAGCTACAGCAAATACGCACACTAAGTCAAGGACCGCCCTGTTAGCAGGCGCCCCGCTGGAACCTCGTGCTTTCCGATGGCCTTGGGGGCCCCTGGGGCACCCAGCGAAGCCTAACATCAAATCAGTGACGAAGCGCCCTGGCCTGCATATAAGGCCACCGAACCAAGTTCTGTAACGTTTTGTGGTCTGCATGGCAGGCCCTCATAACATTCCTGGCTGAGACAGTCTGTTTTTTTTAGATGTCGTCGTGATGTTCTGCGACTGTTGTTTTTGGTTTCAGAACATTCTCTTGTTCAGAGAACGTCTGGTGGCTGGCCCAGGGGTGTCATAGGGACGGTCGGCCCCTGCTCTGCGCATCGATGGAGGGCGTGCCCGCCGATGCCTTGCAGCATGGCTCCCTGTCGTGATGTGCACGCTCGAGCCGCCAGGGCATCGGCCCGCTGCCCGCATGGCTCGTCGGCAGTTCTCGCGCCCTCGGCGGCTGCCGTGGCGGGGCTGCGCCCGTGGCGGGGCTCGGGCACTCCGCCCGGGGGCCCCTGCCGCCCGCCGCGGCCGCGCTCGGCTGGGGTCACGCCCTGCGCGCGCGGCAGCTTCGGGTCGGGGCGGCGCGGCCGCGACCCCGCTGCGGGCGCTCGAGGTTCTGCGCCGCCAGTGTCCCAGAGCCCGCCGGCATGGAGCGACCTGGCGACCTGGGGAGAGGTCGAGGCTGGACGGCCCAGGAGCCCAATGCTGGGGTGGCCACGACACGAAGCCGCCGTGGCCCGTGGCCGAGTTCCCCATGGTCCCCGCGTCATGGCCAGGGACGGGTTGCAGGGTTCGAGCTTCGGCGGTCGTGCCTTCGAGGATCGAGATCTTTGTTGGGCGTCCCTGGCTCTTTCCGGGGGCCACCAAGAAGCCCCTCGTCGCCACGGCTGGATCCGCCGCGAAATTCATGCCAACACGCCCTTCAGGGCGGGCCTGGAGGTTGGTGGCTCGGACCCCCCCGCGTCGTGAAAGAATTTGTCATGGAAGGTTGTTCGCCGTTTTCGGCCTCTGGGGGCCCTTGCTGGGCCCTGGGGCCGTCAAAAACCTATGCATGGTGAAAACAATCCCGAGGCAGTGGCCTAGAGTCTAGACCTGCGGGGATCAAAGCGTGTCATGTCTTGGTTCCCTCCTCCTCGCCTTCCTCCAACGCTCTAATTATCGATTCCTCCCTCCTTTTCCCTCTCCCCTCCTCGGCCCCTTGCGGAGGGGGGAAGAAAGCGCGCATGGTTTCGACGAGGGCGGAGGAGGAGGAGGAGGAGGAGGAGGAGGAGGAGGAGAAGAAGGAGGAGCAGGAGGAGCAGGAGGACGAGGAGAAGGAGGAGGAGGAGGAGGAGGAGGAGGAGGAGGAGGAGGAGGAGGAGGAGAGGAGGAGGAGGAGGAGGGAGGAGGAGGAGGAGGAGGGAGCGAGGAGCGAGGAGGAGGAGGAGAGGGAGGGAGGAGAGGGAGGAGGAGGAGGAGGAGGAGGAGGAGGAGGAGGAGGAGGAGGAGGAGGAGGAGGAGGAGGAGGAGGAGGAGAGGAGGAGGAGGAGGGAGGAGGGAGGAGGAGGAGGAGGAGGAGGAGGAGGAGGAGGAGGAGGAGGAGGAGGAGGAGGAGCGAGGAGCGAGGAGGAGCGAGGAGGTGCGAGGAGGAGGAGGAGGAGCAAAAGGGAGGGAGGAGCAGAGGCAGCAGCAGAAGGAGTTCGGTCCAGCTGCCTGCGGCAAACCCCCGCCACCGCGACAGCGCAGCAGCGCAGCGTGGCGGAGGTTGGATCCTAGACGCTATGCTGTAGCCGGGCGTGCCCCTGTAAAAGAGGAATGTTCAAGAATAACAAAAATACTATGGGGACGATGTTTCGACTACTGTTTGAAAATTGTTGAACATGATTTGGCTATGAGTGATTATTCTTCCAAAGTCCGCCTGTAGGGGGACATGCCAGACCTAAGCGCAGCGTGAAGGAGGTTGAATTCAAGACGCTGTGCCGCGTTCTGCAGCTGTGCTGGGGCCTCTGGGGAGCCTCTCGGGAGCCCTGTCGGGTCCTTTTGGGAGGCCCGTGGTGGCCAAAACTGGACAGGCGCGGCCCAGAACCCGAAGGAATGGGCTGAACTTGAAAGTTGCTTCACCACGCACTGAGCACCGAGCCTCCCTTCGCTAGTCTGCCTCACTTGCCGCAGGCGGGCCCGCCTGCCTGCCTGCGCAGCACGCCGCCCTCCTCTTGTTGATCGGGGCCAGCCTGACAGTGCAGGGAGGGCGCGAGTCGAGTCGAGTCGAGCCTGCGGTGGCCTCTGCGGGCCTCTCCGGGGGGGGGGGGGGCGGGCATTTTTTGGGGGAGTTTGGAGGCAATCCTGCAGGGAATGAGGCTGTGAGTGCCGGCTCGAGCTCCCCCTCTTGTGTTGCTTTCTTGGGGGCCACGTGGACCGTCCGGAGGGCATCGTAGGCCGTCTTGTGTGCTTCCTTTGGGCAGTCTTCAGGGCACTTTGGGCCTTCTTGGATCCCCCCTGGGGGCCCTCTTGGGACTTTGTTGGGCTGTCGCGGAGCCCGATAGGGGGGAACACGTTGCGCCCTCGTGGGCGTTCGGGAGCCAGCATGGGTCAGTACCTCAATTTCTGCGAAAGCCATCAGGGAAAGCACTGTTGGTGCCGTCGAGCGCGTCTTGGGCGTCCTCTTGGAGCCCCCCTGTGCCGTCTTGTGTGTCTATGGGGTTGTCGCGAGTTCATCTTGTGGTCCTTTTTGAGCGTCTGCAGGCCTTCTGGGGTAGTCTTGCGACAGCCTTGGTGGCCGTTTGACCATCTTAAAGCGCGCGTGATTGTCCTTGGGCGTGTCTGTTGTTGTTGCTGCTGCTGTTGATGTTGTTGGTATTATTGTTGTTGCTGTTGTTGGTGGTGGTGGTGTTGGTGGTGTAGTTGTGGTTGTTGTTGTTGGTGGTGTTGTTGAGGTTGTTGTTATTGTCGAGGTGGTTGTTGTGGCTGGTGTGGTTCTTGTGGTTGTTGTGTGGCGCTGTTTGTTTTCAACATATGGCTTGACAATATGCGCCTGGCTGTGATGTATTGATTTTAGCTGGTTTGATTGATGCTGGATGCTTCAAATGCTGTTGGGATATGTGCACCTTTCTCGGCCAGAGCCTCTTTTCGGCTAGAGTCTTCTCATGGCAGTGATATGTTGCGAGGTATTACCACCCATCTTCTCCGAGGCGATGCACGCAACTGGACGTGATGAGAGGGGGAGCACATAGAAGACGTGCAGAAATTCGACCACGCCTCAACGTGCCAGGGAGCATGGTGGCGGAGAATGGGACGGCCACTACTTCACCCACAGATTCATTAGTGCGCGGATGGCAATCCACACATTCGCGTCCATCGAGAAAGAGTGCTTGGGGCTGGGGAGGGGGCAGTGCGACTTGAGCGGAGGCCTTCAACATTTGTCAGATCTCGTTTGATCGGCGATTCAGAAGGAGTAGGAGACGACGCTTGGAGGAGAAGGAGGAGGAGGAGAAGAAGGAGGAGCGAGGCGGAGAAGGCAGAAGCAGGTATGATGATGTTGCTGACTATGATGATGATGATGCTGATGATGATACTGATGCTGATTATGATGCTGATGCTGATGCTGCTGATGCTGCTGATTCTTATGATGACGATGATGACGATGATGGTGAAGGTGGTGGTGATGATGCTGTTGATGATGATGCTGCTGGTGATGGTGATGATGATGATGATGCTGGTGATGGTGACGGTGATGGTAATGATGATGATGGTGATGATGATGCTGGTGATGGTGATGGTGATGGTGATGGTGATGATGAATATGATGACGATGATGTTGATGATGATGATGATGATGATGATGATGATGATGATGATGATGATGATGAGGGTGAGGGTGAGGGTGAGGATGAGGATGATATTGATGATGATGATGATGATGATGATGATGATGCTGATGATGATGATGATGATGATGATGAGGATGAGGATGAGGATGAGGATGAGGATGAGGATGAGGATAATGATGAGGAGGAGAAGGAGGAGGAGGAGGAGGAGGAGGGGAGGAGCGAGGCGGAGCGATAAGGGAGAAGGAGGAGGAGGAGTCGGAGGAGGAAGGAGGAGGAGGAGGACGGATGAGAGCGCGCGTGGGAGAGGAGTCGAGAGGAGCGAGGAGAGGGAATGAAGATCAGGGAGAGGACGATGACGAGAAGGGTGGGTCAGGAAGAGGATGAGGAGGCGGGAGGATCAGGAGGTGGAGGGGGGAGTGGCAGGAGGGGCAGGAGGAAGATAGGCTCTCCCTTGCCCGAGGCTCTGGCGTGAGCGGCGCGCGCGGCTTGCGCGGGCGTCGCGCTCGAGTGCGAGGGGCGGCGTCTGTGCTGGCAGCCTGCCACCCCCACCTTTCCCCAGGGTGATAGGCCGTGGATGAGGAGGACGAGAATGATAAGGAGGAGGGGAAGGAGGAGGGGGAGGAGCAGGAGGAGGAGGAGGAGGAGGAGGAGGAGGAGGAGGAGGAGGAGGAGGAGGAGGAGGAGGAGGAGGAGGAGGAGGAGGAGAGGAGGAGGAGGAGGAGGAGGAGGAGGAGGAGGAGGAGGAGGAGGGAGGGAGGAGGAGGAGGAAGGAGGAGGAGGGAGGGGAAGGAGGGTGCAGGAGGGGGCAGGAGGGGGGAGAAGGAGGGGAGATGACGAGGGTGTGGGAGGAAAGAGGAGGATGAGGAGGAGGTGTGGGGAGGAGGAGAAGGAGGAGGAGGAGGAGGAGGAGGAGGAGGAGGAGCAGGAGAGGAGGGAGAGAGGGGGAGGAAAAGGGGGGAGGGGAGGAGGCAGATGAGGAGAGGGGAGGAGAAGGCTGCAAGCATCCTCCCCGTTCTCACCCTCCTTCTCTCTCCTGCTCCTCTTTATGGATGGCGCTCTTGGCGGTTTGTGGCCCTTTTGGCCTTCCCTCGCGGGCGGCCGAGATCAAGCCGAGTCCCAGGCGCGCACCGGAACCTCGCTCAGGATATGGAGACATGCTTCCCGCTTAGGCGCCGGGAGTTCGGAGCTCGAGTCATCGTACCGACCATTCCCCAGTGTAGTAGCTCATTTTCTGCAGCGACCGCAAGGGCCACCGCCGAGAGGGCCCAGCGGGGGCCAGGGACCGATGCCACCAGCGGCTGCCGACCGCGGCGGCCAAGGCGAGAGGCCTGGAGCGCAGCCAGGATTGGGAACTGCTCGAACACGATGGCGACGGCTCCAGCGAGCAACGGAATTGGTGCCGCTTGACTTAAGTCGGGCCTGTCCCTCTACCGGGGGAATATTCAAACATAGTAGAAAAATAGTCTGGGGACTATTTTTTGAATGCTTTTGGGCATCTTTTGAGCATTTGTTTGATATTTTTAATTTTTGGTCCAAAATCCACCTGTAGGGGGACGCGCCCGACTTAACGCTTGACCTGTTGTTGATGCAAGTTGGTTGGACCTGCTCGGTCGCCACACCCGCTCGTTTACAGATCATGCAGGCACGCCAGCCAGGGAAGGGGCAGATGCAGAAAGCCAGACCACTGCGATAGGCGTGCTGAAACGCAGTTCGAGCGCTTTGCAAGTCCTTGCTTCCAGGGTCGCACGCAGCTGAAGCTACCTACTGGCAGAACCACGGCATCTGGAAATAGATTTGCTCGGCGACGGGGACAGGCAGAGTCGTGATAGAAGTATGCGCTGTTGTCCTGGCCAGGTGAGTAGAGCATGGGCTTACCATGGGCTTGAAAGGCATGGGCTTACCATGGGAGCTACACAGACCAATCGCTGTTGCGCAGCAGGGGGGTTCAAGGAATTGCTCGGGGAATGGGTTCCCCTTGAAGCGGTCACATGCGATGGCCATCTATAGCACACGAACGTTGGTAATAGCGCCCCCCCGGTTACCACATCAAACAAGCAGCCAGCAGGACGATGTGTGATTGTGAAAGCGCTCCCTCACCATGCTCTTCGGGCTTACTTATTCATAATTGTCATACTGCTTGTGGAAGAACCAGGAAAGAGACATCAAGTCAGTGGCTGGGGGGCACTGCACACCGTTAACCGTTGCAATCAGATTCCTTCAAGCTTCTTTACCACCTTGGGCGCTCCGTTCTACCCTTCGCGCGCGCATGCATGAGTGAACCTGGTGAAGCAGTACGCATGGAAGCGTCCGACGATCTCGAACAGTCCACTGCTAGCTGTACGGCAAAAGGTGGTACGAACCTCTCTCGTTAACACATTCTGCACGCAGGATCGTTGAAGTGTGTGGATGTTGATGTTGGACTCGAGTCTATCCAACGAGGCGAGAAGACATCCACACCAAACGACCAGCAACACGTGGAAGTTGCAGCAGAGTAGTCTGAGCAGCCGTCCTCTTCCACGGGCGATCCGCACGCGCGCGTCATGCGCTGGACGCGAGCCTCACACGGCCGCTTCTCAGAGATCGGTCCCTTGAGGCCTACATAGGGGGGAGGCGCGCCGACGGGACGTAAGCCACTCCCTCACTCTGCCCTCTTTCGAACGTGTGTGCTCTCGGTTTGTGGGTTATCCGCCCGCCGGCGCGGCCCCTCGTCCCTCTCCACAGCGCCTCGTTTTACCACGACGTCAAACATCGAGGTGTCCTCCTCAACCCTCCTCCACCCGCCTCGGTCCTCCCTCTTCTTTTGTTTCTTCTTCTTATTATTATTCTTCTTCTGATTACTAGTTTTATTCTCATTATTCGCCTTCTGTTTCTTCTTGGTCCTGTTCTTCCTTCCATCTCCTCCTCCCGCCTCCCACATGGTGCTCCCTCGTCGTGCTTCCTTATTCTCATGACTCCTTTTGTGCCTCCTGGTCACCCCCAAGCTCCCCCCTTCCTGCACACGGACCTCCACACGCTGGGCTGGGCGGGAGCCGTCGTGTCGACCGTGACTTCGACTTTGTGCTTATAGCTCCCATGACCTATCCCCTCCTCCACCGCATCCTCCTCCTCCTCCTCCTCCTCCTCCTCCTCCTCCTCCTCCTCCTCCTCCTTCTCCTCGTCCGCCTCTTCCTCGCCTCTCGCTCACCCCGTCAACGTCCTCCTCCCCCCCCCTCCTATTCCCTCCTCCTCCTCCTCCTCCTCCTCCTCCTCCTCCTCCTCCTCCTCCTCCCATCCTCCCATCCTCCGAGTCTCCCCAGCGTATTGCCGCGTCTGCGAGTGCGCAGAGGTGTGACGAGCAAGAAAAACACGCCGCCGGAAAGTTCCGGGTGGCCCAGCGTTGTGTGCCTCGCGGGCTCCGCCGTGGGGCGCTCCTGGGAGCTGCTTCCGGGGCGTACCAGGGCCGTGTTGGGTCGATCATCTCAATCTGGCCGATCCGCTTCGATATCGATCTCGGCCGGACGGATCCGACCCGGTCCCGCCATCTCGACGATCCTGTGCGGTCAGAGGCTTGCATGGCGGTGTTCTGTGCATCCTGGCGCGGCTCTGCGATTCGATTTCGCCTCCGTGCCGATGCAGCCCGACTCGATGCCTGTTCCGATCCGACCCAGCCTCCCTCGGACGGGGCTGGGACGAGGACAAATCCGTTCCAGAGCGTTCCGGAATGCTCTCAGAGCGTTCCAGAGCGCTCTGAGAAGGCCGCTGCGCGAGACATCCTCCAGAGCCGCCGGACCACAGAGATTCTCGAGGTATCCTCACCCGATGTTGTCCGCGTCCTGGCTTCGTCTTACTGTTCCGATGCGGCCTGGCCTCCCGAGCCGATGCCGAGGGATCGTGCCCTAGAGCATCGTGCTGGGAGCTGCCTCCGTGGGGAGGCTGTGCGGGGCCGTCGCGGGGAGTCCTGTCACGGAGAGGTGCCCCGGCGTGGCAAAGAGTCCCCCCTCCTCTTCCTCCGCGTCCTCCTCCTCCTCCTCGTCCCCCATTCCTTTTCCTTATAGATGACCCCTCGCTGTCGCACCCCGAGGCCAGTTTTTAGGGCGGGCTGGGCGTTTCGCTTTAGACTTCCTCACTACGTATGACTCTGAAGTTTGAAAAGTGACGACAGCTTCACATATGGAGAGCGGGCCGTTTTCAAAATGTGGCTCTTGCCTTAGCGCCGCGCACATTTTTTCTAAATTTGCAACAGCTTCACGGATTGAGTGCGGATGGTTTTCAAGATGTGGCTCTCGCCTTAGCGCCGCGCACATTCGTTTTACACATTTGCAGCATTTTCACCGATGGAGGGCGGGTCGTTTTCAAAATGTGGCTCTTGCCTTAGCGCCGCTCACATTCCTTTCAGAAAGTGGCAAGAATTTCAGTGCATGTGGCTCTCGCCTTAGCGCCGCGCACATTCGTTTTAAACATTTGCCGCATTTTCAAAGATGGAGGGCGGGTCGTTTTCAACATGTGGCTCTTGCATTAGCGCCGCGCACATTCCTTTCAGAAAGTGGCAAGAGTTTCAGTGAATGTGGCTCTCGCTTTAGCGCCGCGCACTTTCGTCTTAAACAATTGCAAGATTTCACGGGTTGAGGGCGGGTCGTTTTCAAAATGTGGTTCTTGTCTTAGCGCCGCGCACATTCTTTTTTTAAAGATTTGCAAGAGATTCACGGATTCCCATGATCAACGTACCAGAAAGGGTGTTTTGGACGGACTCCAGAGCATGCGGGCGCAACAGTTATGCTGATTCCCTGTATTGAAGTCCCAAAAATGGCCTTCTGGTTGTATTCTGGATCGTCAAGACGCAGCAGTCAGGTTGATACGTGGCGTTGAAATCCCGAGAACAGTGTTTTGGCACGCTTCAGGATCTTCAAACTGTTGTCTTCCAACGAGGCAGTTCCCTCAATGGAAATGAACCGTTGTAGGGACCTATGAAGAGGGAGCTTGGAGGGAGGGTTAATTCCAACATCGTTGATAACTCTTGGGTTTCCACTGGTCCTCCTCCTCCTCCTCCTCCTCCTCATCCTCCTCTTCCTCCTCCTCATCCTCCTCCTCCCCCGCCTCCTCCACCTCGTCCTCCTCATCCTCTTCCTCCTCCTCATCCTCCTCCTCCTTCTCGTCCTCCTCCGCCGCCGCCTCCTCCTCCCGAAAATTTTGGCATTTGGTCAGGGTCCGCCCGCCCGACCCGCCTGGCAGGGGCCGTGGTGGAATGAAGACACGTGCCACTTTCGTGTCTTTAGGGGCCCTTTCAGGCTCCTTGAGCGCCGTTTTCCCTGAATCCTCGATCCCGCTGGTGTGCGAGCCTCAGATGTGCACAGTCATAGTAGGAGCTACTCGAGAGTACAGCTCCTCCGCAAGGACGGCAAGTTGCCGGGCCTCAGTTCTGCTGTGCAGTGTTGGTGTGTCCCAGATTGTGATGTCGAGCACGCTTGGCGAGTCAAGCATGCCCCAGCCGCATCC